ATCCACATATACAATTAGTGCCATGAAATCACCTCCTGTTCCTTTGGTAAACAAACAAGGATCATGTTGTGACTGCTGAAATCCAAGTTGCTGAATCCTGGAGCAAAATTCCACATTCCATTGTCTTGATGCTTGTTTGAGGCCGTATAATGATTGTCTCAGTCTGCAAACCTTCCCGGATGATGCCTTTGTATACCCTTCTGGAGGCACCATATACACTTCTTCCTCCAAATATCCATGGAGAAATGCATTATTGATGTGCAGTTGATGTATAAACCAACCAGCACTTGCAGCAACTGCCAATACTAATCGAACTGTTCCCACTCTGGCCACAGGAGAGTAGCTATCATAATAATCTTCTCCCTCTACCTGATTGTAGCCTTTTGCTACTAACCTTGCTTTTAGTCTTTCTACATTTCCATCAGAACAATATTTGACTTTGTATACCCATTTACACCCTATGGCCCTTTTTCCAGGTGGCAAATCTGTGATTTCCCAGGTTTGGTTATCCTCCAGTGCTTTGAGCTCAGCATCCATGGCATCTCTCCAACCCGGAAACTATTTTGCCTCCAAGTATCCTGTTGGTTCTATGATACTATCCACTTTGGTTAAAAAAGACACATGAGTTACTGTGCAATTATGCATGCGGTAAAAGGGAAAGCTGTCAGGAGTGTACTGTTTGTATTCATGAAATGGATCTGGTAGGGTGTCAAGAGTGTGAGAAAAACATGCTTTACCAGGAACATAATCATCCATCCACTTGGGAGCATTTCTGGTTCTAGTGCTTTTCCTAAGAGGAATCAAAGTATCAGAGACAGATTCAGAAGTGATGATATCTATTGGAAGAGGGGTAGTGTTGATTGGAAGTGAAGAGGGTATGATTGTAACAGGTGATAATCTATCGGGTGTTTTAGACAAGTCGTCGGAAGCAGGAGGAAAACCATCATGATGTAGAAAAGGATCAGCATTATTTTCTCCTAAGGAATCTGAAGTTGGGGAAAAATTCATGTGTGTGGAAGGAAATTGATCAAATTGGCTTAAAGGGATTGACTGACTACTGGATACTGTTGAAGATTGTTGTTCCAAGAAAGGAAAGCTTGTTTCATGAAAAACAACATCTCTAGAAACAAATGTCTTCTTGGAATCTAGATCATATAGTTTATAGGCCTTCTGACCTAATGGATACCCAATGAAAACTGATTTGATGGCTCGGGGCTCAAATTTTGTTTTGTGGATTTGTATTTGTAGCATAGCAAAGACTTCCAAACACTTTAAGGTGTTGAAGGTCTGGCTGTTTAGAGAAAAGAACCTGATATGGAATCTTCCAGTCCAACACAGAAGAAGGCAACCTATTTATTAGGTAGGTAGCTGTGAGTAATGCTTCCCCCCAGAAATATTTTGGAAGGCCTGAATGAAAAAGTAATGATCTGGATATTTCGAGAAGATGCTTGTGTTTACGCTCCACAACGCCATTTTGTTGTGGAGTGTATACACATGATCGTTGATGGATGATGCCAAGATCTTTTAAGAGACTTTGACAGTTAGAACTGAGGAATTCTGATCCATTATCAGTTCTGATTATTTTGACAACCTTGTTGAACTGAGTCTGAATCATTTTAAAAGAGGCTGCAAGAATTGAAACTGTCTGAGATTTATGTTGCATTAGATATGTCCAAGTAGCCCTACTGAAATCATCTACCAAAGTCAAGAAGTATTGAGCTCCACTAATGGTTTTTTTGAGCATTTGGTCCCCATATATCAATGTGAACAAGATAAAAAATGGAATCAGATTGGATAGAACTAACTGAGAATTTTAATCTTTGCTGCTTTGCCAAAGGGCAGATACTACAATGTTTTGAAACAAATTCATCATTCTTATTGAACAATCCTAGCTGACTGATGATAGAATCAGGTACATGACCTAATCTATGATGCCAATTGGCATTTTTGGACTTATTACAATCAGTATTTGACATAAGGCATTTCTTAGGATTGACACACTGAACAAAAGGATGGTTAACATTGTTCTTCATGAAGCTGAAAATGGTGTCCTGTGAAAAAGATGTGTGATCCAAAACGTAAAGTTTGTTTACTACTTTTCCAACTGCCAAAAGCCTTTTAGTCACTTGGTCCTGCAACAAACAAAAGTTTGTTGAGAATAGGCAATCAATGTTGGAAGAGTTGGCTAATTTGCTAACTGAGATCAGGTTATACTGGAATGTTGGTATATGCAAGCAATCTTTAAGCCTTAAGGTATCAGAAAGCATAACAATGCCTATATTTTTAACACTTTTCATGCTTCCATCTGCCAAACAGACTGGTGTATAATGGCTAACAGGTTGAAATGATGCAAACAGGTTTAAAAGATAGCAGATATGACCAGTAGCTCCTGTATCTAAAAACCATAAAGCACATAATACCATTTTATCAACAGAACTCAAGGAATTCAATGCTGTGAAATTGCTCATACCTGCGAAGTCATGGTAATGTGCAAAATTCACCCTGTCATAACCCTCTGCTTGTTGATTTCCTTTCAAAAGCTTCCCCATGTCCTGCTGTAACTTCATCAGAGTGTTCATCATGATCTGCTGCATGTTGTTTCCATCACCACTTGATCCTTCCAATTGTTGCTCCATTTTTGACTCCACAAAGTTAGCTGAGTAATTTCCTGATCTTTTAAACTGTGATTTCTTCCCTTCTTTGTGATTGTCATTCCACCAATCCGGAAATCCAATAATGCGGAAGCAACCTTCTCTGTTATGTCCAGTCATTTTGCAATTGTCACAATACAGGAGCTTCTTGGCCGCCTTATCCCTTCTATAATCATTCTCTTTACCAGCCTTGTCGAATTTTCCTTTCTGCACTGACATTGCTGCTTCTACAATATTGTTTTCAACCTGTTGAACTTTCATTGCACTTTGATCTGAGATTGTACTATAGAGCACATTAACCTGATTTTGTTTCTCAACAGTTGACACCATAGAATAGGCTCTTTTCACATCAGGCAAAGGCTCAATCATAAGTATTTGATTGCGAACTGCTATATAACAATCATTTAAACCAGTCAAGAATTGATATAACCTGTTTTTCGCATCCTTCATTCCTCCCAATCTGAGATGACAGGTGCACTTTCCACATTTACAATCCTCTGTTGGATCCAAAACATTAAGCTCATCCCAAAGTCTTTTCAGTCTTGAATTGTATGAGGACACAGATTCATTTCCTTGTGACATCGTACATATCTCCCTTCTAAGCTGATAGATCTGAGGTCCATTCTTGGTGCCATGCCGATACTTCAATTCTTCCCAAAGATCAAACGCAGTGTCTGCCAAAGTGTAATTTTCAACAAGACCGGGAGAAATTGCATTGAGAATCCAAGCCACAATGTTGTCATTAACACGCATCCATTGCTCGAAGTCAGGATGTTGATGACTCGGTTTGGCATAATTCCCTGTGATAAAACCTAATTTATTTCGAGAACCAAGAGCTCGCCGCATCGCATAACTCCAGGCCACATAATTGGACTCCGTCAACTGAAAATTGATCGGAATTAAGCTTGAATTGTCAGATGCCAATAACAGAAGAGGATGATTATAACCGCCGTACTGAACTGCATCATTTTCTCTTCTCCGATTGTGCATCTCTCCGCTGCGACTGGTTCTTGGATCTTCAATGACAAACGCCATAATTTCCGGCTGAGATTCACCGGAATTGGAAGATTTATTGATTAGCGATTTTGTTGATCTGAATCTGTGGTTATCAGAGCAGGATACCATCTTGAAGGCCCAAATATAAGCCCACGTGGTTCCACCTCAAAACCAATTGGCAATGAGGGGAGTAACACATGGGGTATATATGTTGAGTTCAAGAGTCTTCATTCATCCATGTGGGACAATGGAACATGAGGTCAATTCTTTCTTTTGTTCATTTAACACGCCCCTCTCAAGCCCAATGGGCTTGGACGGGTAACTTTATGTTTTTTTTTTTTCAGTCTTACGATCGGACAAGTCAAAGTTCAAAGTCAAACCCCGGATTTCTTCCGTGGGTTGACCAAAGTTTCAAGACCCAATCTGGGTCAGTCCACCTCGTCCCACATGTCCCACAGGTCCGCGGATTAAAATCCGCTCTGATACCATCTTGAACTTTGAAGAAGCTACGGGAACGAGAGAGAGAGAGAGAGAGAAGTATTCTGTTTCAGATTTAGAATTTTTGTGTATTGTATTTCATCATTTGGGAACAGGGATTTTCGCTACATTGGGCCGCCATTGCCTGTTGATCTGTCGAATGACCAGCTGATGCGAGATTTCTGCCGCCAGACGGTGAATACCATGTGGCATTACCATGGTGGATGCCTGGTTGGTAAGGTGGTGGACATGAACTTTAGGGTATTGGGGATTGAGTCGCTCAGGGTTGTGGTGGACATGAAGCTTCTGGAATCATCACAGCTCACACAATATGCTTGGAGAACGGGCATGCTTGAAGATCACGTCAAGGAGCTTCTTGTAAATATTTTTGTTTGCATTAATTAGAGGTGAAGATTCTAGAGCAGGGAGTTAGTGTGGAATATTTGAAGTAATGCAGTTTCTTGGAGATATATAAATAGCTCTAGGATCCTTGTGAATTTTTCCATGAGAAATACAAAAGAAGTTTTTTCAGTTCAGATGAGCTTCCTTCTCCCCTCCCCGATTCTGAGTTTTTTATGATTAATAATTCATATTCTGACTGAAAATCAGATTTAATCCAATCCAAAACATTCCTAATTCTTCCAAGATTAAAATTGGTGTAATAGTATTGTAATAGATTATGTGGTAGTTAGTAGGAGATGTCAAAAATGTCTCTCTTCTTATGGTGATCATTTATCGATTGTGATATGAAAAGGGAAGTGAATTACATAATTTCCCCTCGTAGCGAAATTAACTTTCTTAAAAAAAATGATTATTAAAATAGCCAAGAAGGAGGGAATACTTTGGTTTTAATAATTTCAGCTCTCTCTTTGGCCAAAAAAAAATAATAACAATAAAAAAATCCTTTCACCTCTCTCACTGCATGAACATTCAATAAATGGCACACTTCATGAGAGTTGGGCATTCGAAATTTCCAGAGAGCTAAGCAACCAAGCAACAACAATGGATGCTTTCTCTTCCTCATTCGTCTGTTCATCTTTATCACCAAATCTTCAAACTATCAACATCCCTTCATTGAATTTCCCTGCCGTATCACGCGTCACCATCTGCAAAAATCTTGAAACCATCAAAAACGAAAAAGCACCTCCACCGACTCAAGCAACCGATCAACAACCCAAGAAAAGCAACCCACCATTACTGTCACTCAGAGGAGCTGTATTTGATGCACTGGATACGTTGATAAACACATCCATCGATCCTCCGGACCGCCACCGCGGCACCTCCTTCGATCCCAACTGCATCCTCTCCAACAACTATGTTCCGGTGGATGAGCTCCCTCCGACCGAATGCCCGGCGGTAGAAGGAGCGCTTCCGGCATGCCTCGACGGCGTATACATTCGTAACGGACCCAACCCACAATTTTTTCCCCGGAGTCCTTACCATTCACTCGAAGGGGACGGAATGCTTCATTCCATTCGGATTTCTAAAGGAAAAGCCACATTCTGTAGCCGTTATGTGAAAACTTACAAGTACATCACTGAAAGAAACGCCGGATTTCCAATCATTCCCAACTTCTTCTCTATCCTCAGTGGCGGGATCGCAGCCGGCGCGGCTCGATGGGCTGTCGCAGCCGCTAGAATTCTTACGGGACAGTTCAGTATTCTAAAAGGCATGGGGTCGGCAAACATCAGCGTAGCCCTGATTGGGGGTAAGCTTTACGCTTTGGGCGAAGGTGATCTTCCTTACGAAATAAAGTTAGAGCCTAATGGAGATATCATCACTTTGAGGCGTCATGATTTCGGGGACAGGTTTAATACCACCATGACTCCTCATGCCAAGATTGATCCGGAAACGAAAGAAGCTTTTGCTTTTAGGCTCGGTTACGTATTTCCTCCATTTCTAACGTTTTTCAGAATCAATCCCGACGGAAACAAGGGGCCCGACGTGCCAATTTTCTCGATGAAAACATCGTCTTGTACGCATGATTTGGCAATCACGAGTAGGTACGCAATCTTTCCGGATATACAAATCGGGGTGAACGTACTCAAGGCCATCACGGGAGGCCGGCCAACGTTGGGTTTGGATCCGAGAAAGATTCCACGGATCGGAGTCCTTCCGAGACACGGGGAGGATGGACGGGAAATGAGGTGGTTTGATGTTCCGGGAGTTAATTTTCTGCATATGATCAATGCTTGGGAGGAAGGCGAAGGAGGTGATACTGTTGTGATGGTTGCGCCTAATGTGTGGCCGATTGAGCATTTCATCGGCCGTATGGATTTGGTTCATGCGTCCATTGAGAAACTCAAGATTGATCTCAAGACTGGGATAGTGTGGAGACGTCAAATTTCGTCATGGAATTTGGAATTTGCAGTCATTAATCCGGCTTATGTCGGCAAGAAAACCAAGTAAGATGACAAATCAAAACTTAATTTTTTTTAATGAATTTTTATTGGTTTGTGTTGAATTGTATGAATAATATGTAAGGGAGCTTTATATTTAACTATATTAATTAATAATTTTTTTAGTTTTGATGAATTATCTAAAAAGACAAATAAAAAAGAATGGAAGGAATAGGTGACATTGGTGGCATGATATTATTTAACATCCTAACAAGGTGCTTGGCAAATCATTTCCTCATATACTAATGCATTGTTTTCCACAAACTTCCAATAAAAATGAAAAAAAGAGACCACCTTGACCAACTAAAACATTTTAACCACCTCAAGCTATATATAATTGTCGACACCTAAATTCCGTTATCATTTTGACAACACTATTACCTTTGCCTTCTTCATAATAACAACTGCAACAATGAACTTTTGCCCTTTTTTCTTAATACAGAAATTAGTGATTTGGCATTTACCATAGTAGTTGTTTGATTTCTACAAACATTGCAAACGGTCCAACACTTCAATTAATTAATTAGAACACAGAAAAACGTGGATCTCTCTTTTTTGCCTAAATATGTGCGACAATTCTCATTCCACCTTAAATGGAATTCGATTCCTTCAAGAGTTTCACTCAAAATATTACCGCAAGAATTTGATCAAATTTTTAGAAAAAAAAGAAAAAGAAAAAGAAAACATGGATTTACATGATAAGATGAACCTCACGAAGTCCCACTTTCTCTTGCTTTTGCAGATATGTGTATGCAGCAATTGCAGTCACAGACCTAGTCCCAGTTATTTCTGGTGTAGCGAAATTAGATATATCGTTGTCTCAAGATGATGACCATCACGAATGCGTCGTTGCCAGCCGGTTGTACGGACCAAGTTGGATTGGAGGCGAACCGTTTTTCGTGGCGAGGGAGCCCGATAACCCAAATGCGGACGAAGATGATGGTTATGTCATATGTTTTGTCCACGATGAAAATAAGGGAGTGTCAAGTTTCTTGGTGATGGATGCTAAATCACCTAATCTTGAAATTGTTGCTGTTGTCAAGTTGCCTCGTCGGGTTCCAAGCGGTATCCATGGCCTATTCATTAGGGAAAATGACCTTCCCTGACTCACACGACTCAATAACAAGTTGTCCCAATGAAACATATTAACACTTTGAGTCGTTTTCCTTTTTCCTTTTTGGTTTTTGTTAGTTCAAAATGCGTCCACAAATCACCTGAATTTGTATACCAAATGATACAATATAGTTTATGACGTTTCTTCACCACATAAAATCTTAGACCCAAAAATAAAAGAAAATAACATATGTTGGAAATGAGCTTTTAATTTGAATGAAAATTGATTTCTCGAAGATTGGAAAAGTTGAGCTTATGAATCGGAGTTCGTTTAACTCATGTATGTGCCCGACTTACAGACACAAATATTGGATTGAACTCTTGCATACCCGATCAACCCATGTTTGTTTTGTCTTAGATTAATTTTTCAGTCAAATAATGGAGAGACTTTTGCTGCTAAAATTAATTCCAAACTATTTTTATTTAATCAGAATTTAACCGGATTGATTACTAATGGCAATGAGAGTGTTAATGAATATAATATTTCATTTAGCATAGGAATTCTTTTACTGCAATAAAACTGACTGTTTCAGTTTAGAATTTGTGGAATTAATTCATTTAAATGAGTATAATAAAATCATTTAAATGTTTAAACATTTTTAATCACAATTATTCTATTACAATTAAGGTGAATTAATACGAGAAAATCGTTAAAATTTCAACTGAATTCAAAAAGTCTCTTCATGATATAAATAGTGGCTCATGGTACAATTCTAACCACCTTTAATTCTTCATAACAATCGTCTTAGCCGTTTGTTCCTCTTCGTGGGTATTCTGTTGAAATTTTCTAAGTTCCAGTTCGCCAGTGGAACTACTTACTACTAAATAGTTTTCACCTTTTTCCGTTGTATGCTTGGAAATAATTGCTCACAATCCTCTAGCACCTTAATAAGAACAATGATTCTCAATTTTTGGGAAAAACTTTGACTCTTTGCTCTAATTCACTTTTGTGAGAAATGGAAAAAGAATCGAAGTTCCATGCGTGGAAAGAGATGAAGAGGATCCTTCTGTTAAGTTTTATCTTTGGATATGAACTTAGAGGTTTGTTCTCAATAGAAATATAGTCTATAAAGATAATTTGTTCTCTACAAGATTAATGGTGATAATAAATCCAATAAAAGTAATAGAAATTAGAAAGTGATACATGTTGTGAGTGAGGCACTAATTGGTGACTTCTTTGCACAACATAGAATGTTCTATGTAGTGACTACCATGTACACATTTTAATCTAATCGAAATTTAAACATAGAAATTACGATTTTCTAGTTCAAAACAACTCGAATTTGTGTGAAAAGTTTTCTCAAGTGATGACCTTATAAAAAATAAGGTATCCTGAAAGAAAGAGAGATCACATTAATGGAAATCTAGACAACTCGAGAGTTTCAAGCTCTAAGTATCGATAACAAAGTTTCAAACTCTAAGTATCGACAACAAACTCTTTTTATCGTCTTATAACAAGCCCAGAGATTATCAATATAAATTAAAGAGTATGAAAAATTTATCTATGACAATAAAAAGACTAAGGCAATTGTGTCCACGTCAACGACACATGAGAAGACTAAGACATTTGATGTCACTATGTGAAAAACATATTAAATTGTGTAGGTCAAAATGGGCAAATTATTCTCAAATGCTATAGATAAAATTGGATAAACGGAAGTCCGAGGCTTGTGAAAACACAATTTCCTTTAAACAGATTAGCCCCCTCTCAAGGTGATAGAGGATCCATGCGCATTTGTTACCTAGGATACAATGGAAACGTAGAGACTACTTAGCACAAATCAACTATACATCAGAACGAGCATTTAGTACAAACTGATGAACACCACAAATAGGAAGGAAGAAAGCCTCTTATCGAAACTGGAAGAGAGGAGGGAAAAAGGGGTGTCGATTGTTGAACTATGAGTCACCATTTATAGTGTGGAGAGGAACCTTTTGAATTACCTCAGACGGTTTTCACCATTTAATTATAATTTAATGCGTAGGTTTATGGCCTAAAAACCATTTAAAGATTTTATACATTCAAACCACATCAACTTTCATATTCAAAACTCTTAATGGTCAAGTAATGCTGGCACTTTAATTCCAATAAAGCTGAAAACGGTTTTCCATTAAACCAGCTATTCATTTGACCATTAATCGTCCAAAATTTATTCCATAGAATTAATTTTGACGTTACACATTAACCTCTCCATTTGAGTGGAAAATTAATTCGAACCAGAGCAAAACGTTGGTTGATCAGGCCCGCGAAAATTCGGTTTGACAATCGATTCTAGTCTCTTCATAAACTAAATTCCCATTCAACTTGAACTCAATTTCCAACAAATTGTTGATAGTAAGCATGTTAACATGTTAAAATTAGTTTTAACATATGGGACTTATCTGATTTTAATCGTTACAATATGAATAAAAAATGGTCTTCTTTTGAGATAAAACTCATTATGTGGACAAAACTCTTGTAGAGTTTAAACAAGATTGCAGAGTTGCTAGAATATTAGATGAGTTCTTTGTTTTTCCTTGTTACATGGAAAGAGTACTACTTAAGTAGAATACTCAAGGATAATGATGAGAGTAATGTATCTAATGAGTTGCACTAGACCAGACAAAGCTTATGAAATAAGCTACTAAAGTGCGAATACGAGTAATCAAGCATTATGTGGACTGTTAATGTGGATTGACAATGTTAGTATTAAAGTACTGATGGTATACTCAGAATGTTGAAGTACATCATACTTGATATCCAACTTTTTAGAAGAGTACACAGATACAAATTGGATATTGGGGGCGATGACTCAAAAAATACTAGTGGATATGGTTATGTTTTTATGTTAACCTGGACCTACGTGTTTTGCAAATCCCCAAACTAGATTGTGATAACCAATTTTACAATGGATCCCGAATTGTGTATATCGGATAGTTGTGAGATAGAGGCTAAATGGTATCGCTAGTTTCGAATAGGGATAATTGTGCTTAATCTATTAATCATAGATGTGAAATGGCATGTAGTCAATTGTATAATGGTAATCCAAGACATTACTTTGTCACAGATATTGTATCATTATTTAACCTGTTCTAAACTATAGATATCTTGCTTGACTGTATGAAGTCAAAAGATAATACCGCAGATCCGCTAAGGTATGTGTTAAACAAAGTAATAGTTGAGAAAATGACAAAAGGAATGAGTTAGCCTATGAAGTATAAAAGTCATAAGAAAAAAAACCCAACCTAGTGGACTAGAGATCCCAAGATCTAGATTCAAAGGGACAACCTAATCATAAGACTTGGTGTGGCCACTATGGGAGGAACCTCAACTCATTCCTGTGTTCCAACAGTGACGTGATGGAAAAAGATAGCAAACGGTTTCTTTAATAACTCGTAAGTGAGTAATAGCATTTACTCTAGACTTAAGAAGTCACCTACGTAAGAGAGAAGTGGGACCGTTTTGAAAGAGAACTTTTAAGGCTTATTTCTTTAGAAATTCTCGTAGAACCAGACATGTTCATGGCCAAAATGAACAAAAACGTGAGAAAAAAACTAAAAAGAAATGGTTCCTGTGTATTTTATGTGGGTTTCTTTATACAATACTACCTGATAGTTCAAGGACATCGCATCTACTGGATAGTTAGTAGAGCAAGCATAGTTTAGAAGGAGGAAGTTCAAAGGGTAACACTTAGTTTCTCTATGCAGGAATCAGTTGGTGAACATCATCTTCATCGAGTCAAACCAATGTCTCATTCATGTGGGGATTGTTGCAAATGAGATATTAATTTGAATGAGAATTGCTTTCTCATAGACTGGAAAAGTTGAGTTTATGCTATGGAATCAGCTTAACTCATTCATATGACCGACTTACGGACACAAATGTTGGACTGAACTCTCGCAGACCTGATGAATCCACGTTTATTCTGTCTTAGATTAATTTTCCAGCCACATAATGGAGAGACATTTGCTGCTATAATTAATTCCAAATGGTTTTCATTTAATCCAAATTTGACCAGATTGATTACCAACAGTTATGAGGGTGGTAATGAATATAATATTTCATTTAGAATTGGAATCATTTTGCTGTAGTAAAACTGACTGTTTCAGTTTTAAATTTGTGGGATTAATTCAATTAAATAAGCATAATAAATAAATTAAAATCTTTAAACATTTCACTAACAATTATTCTTCTACAATTAAGGTGAATTAGTACAAGAAAACCATTGGTTTTTCAGTTGAATTCAAAGGATCTCTTCATGATGTAAATAGTGTCTCATTGTTCAATTCTAAACACTCCTAATTCTTCATAACATTTGTTTGAGCCATTTATTTTTTTACTTGGTGTTCCTCAGATATTTCGTAATCTTCAGTTCACCGGTGGGACTACTTAATGCTAAATAGTATTCTCTTACTGAGTACCGAATTTTCATATATTTCTTAAATATGTCATTGTTTATCACAAATTCCACATCTAATTTCTCCAACAACATATAGATTGACTGACACATATACGCTTAGCTTTAAATTCGTTACTGCAATAGGAATTGAGATAAAAAAGAGTGGTGCTCCTTTCGTTCCAAAATTATTGTACAAATTGGATTTTCTGTTTAAATACAAATTGAATTAAAAATGAAAAATCGAAACTGGACAATAATTCAGGACAAAGTGAGTAGTTTATTTTCTTTTGGCTAAAAATGTTTCTAAAGGAGAAAAAATTGGCAAAATATTATTTAAAAAAATGTGACACGACTAATTAGTAGACAACTAAGGGGAGATGTTTAGCGAGTTTGTTTCTGACAATAGTACATTTTTGACTTATTTTATCCAATCATGAATGGATTTGTTGGTAGCCTGGTGGTGAGGAGTTTGTCCTTGAACCACTTCCAAAAGAAATATTTATAAACCTACTTAAAACTAGTAGTTAGTGGTAATCAGGGTTGTTCCACAGAGACGGCTGTCAACCGCTCAAAATCTGATTAAAGTGTATGAAAGAAAGAAAATAAGTTGAACAGATTGTCACTTGGGAGAGTAAGAATAGTCACTTGACAGAGTGAAGAGACAGAAGGGCCAATCACCTTCCTACCTTAATGATCCGGTTTTGATTCAAATATTCCTGTAGGGTATGATTAGTTGTTCGATCAGGCTGTTATATTCTTTATCAATCCTTC